TCCTATGCGGATATCCCCCGTCCTGCTTTGGGGAGAACACAGAGGCAAAATAGTCATTTAGCATCTGTGCCTGTTCCCTCATATCAGTCACTGGATCTCCTTCCTCCTTTAGTGGTCCCACCACTTGTCTCCCCTTCCTCTTCCTATTTACATGCTGAAAGAAGCCCTTTTTGTTGCTCTTGATATTCTTGGCAAGTCTCAGCTCGTAATCAGCTTTAGCCTTGCGAAGAATCCTTCTGGAACGGGCCTCCTCCCCCTGGTATACCCTTTTGTCTATTTCCCCCAGTACCCATTTCCTACGGAGGTTCCTCTTTCATCTAATCCCTCTAACCACCTCCTTTCGTATCCATGGCGGCACTCTCCTTCGCCTCCCCACCTTACTGACTAGAGGTATCGTCAAGGATTGCGTCTCCAAAACCTCCCTTTTGAGTGCCATCCACCCCTCCTCAACTCACTTACCTTCCAGTAACCTATCCCAGGAGACTTTCCCCAGTCTGGCCTTCAGTTGGCCAAAGTTGGCCCTCTTGAAGTCCCAGGTTCTAGTGCTCGACCTGCTGCACGTCCCTAGTCCCCTGATCTCAAAGCAAAGGATGGAGTGATCACTCGCATCCAGAACTCCTCTAATCTGTACTTCATCTATCAGCTCCTCCCTATTGGTCAAGACCAAGTCAAGGATGTTTCCACCCCTCGTTGCCTCTCGGACCCTCTTTGTGAAAAACCCTCCCTCTATAGCTTCTAGAAAGTGACGTGACCTGGCTGTCACCGCCGAGTGAGTCTCCCAAGTAATAGCCAGGAGATTGAAATCTCCCTTAATTACTGTGTCTCTCCCCCAAGATATCCTTAGAATCTGGCCTGTCAAGTTATCATCCAGGCTCTCAAGTTGACCTGGTGGGCGATAAGATACCCCCACTGTCAGGTCTCTTTCCCTGTCAAAACCCCTAAGTTTCACCCAGACTGCCTCTACCGAATCCCTGTCTGTGCTGCATTCTATCTCACTGCAAAAAGGTCTTGGCCTGGCGTCGAAAAGCAAGTAACGACGGCGCCAGGCAGACCTCTCTGGGGAGCGCATTCCATAGATGGGGCGCCACCGCAGAGAAGGCCCTCCTCTGGGTACTCACCCTCCTAATATCTTTCATGGAGGGTTTAACAACCATACCATATTGGTTCTCAGCCAGTTGAACTCTTTCCAATTGCACTGTTCAGAACTGGTTTCCACTAGGTGCAGGGGTCTCCTGCAGAGAGGCTCACCAAACAGCAGAAGCTCACCAAGCTTCTTCCCCCCTTGGTATGTGATGAAGCAATAAACACCCCTTGCTGACAAATGTTGAGGGTGGCAAAGTTCATCCCCCATCAGAGTCCTTGATGTGGAGAGACCTTGCACCACTAATTTCCAACAGGATTAAAGTATCCCTGATGAAATATAGGGGTTGGTCAAGTCCAACAAGGATCCTTGGCGCAACAAGTTCACACCCTCCCACACAGCACCTACTTGTGATGGTGCCTAGGATATTTTCTCAAACTTGTCCACAGTTTGAGTATTTAGTGCTAGGCAATAGCAACTGGGGTGACACTGCTAGATATGAGCCATTCTTTGTCATACAAAGAAGGGAAATGATTTACCAAATACCTCAATTCAGAAAATCTCCCAAGCCACATTCTGGTGGGTTAGACATGAGTTGGGGGTTAACTCGTGTCCCAAATGTAAGACTTCCTTCTCAATTTCATAATTAATCTGGATTTG